CCCCGGGTGTGCCACGCCCCCAGGACCACTCTCACGGCAGGCCCAGGGGTGTCACGTCCCCAGGACCACTCACACTGCAGGCCTGGGGGGTGTTACGCCCCCCGGACCACTCTCACTGCAGATCCCCAAGGATCTGGACCTGGATGATCTTTAAGGTCCCTTCCAACCCAAACCATCCTGTGATTCAAATCCTCCCTACAAGGTACTTTTTTCCAAGGCTCTTACACCTTCTGGGTCAAACACAATAAAATCTGGTCAGTGGTAGGGAAGAGGGATCTCGCAACCAGAGATCCCACAGAAAAGAAACCAGCTTGCTTTCTGGATCCCAAGAGATCCAAGCGTTGAGCTGCACACTCTTCACTCAGCCGGCTCTGCCTGGTCCTATAAACTCTGGACAGACGAGGCAAAGCCACCAAACTCCTGCCAGCTCTGAAAGCAGGGAATGGGGTTTTCGAGCATGGGCTGGAAAGCTTCTGAAGAGGAACAAGCGCATCCTTCCCCAAACCAGCCCAAATTCCTACAATCGTCTGACTGGCTGTTTACAACCCTCTGTGCCGTGAATGCAGTATGCGGAAGAGATCAAAGGGTGCTCCTGCCTTCCCCACGCAAGATTCCGTAGGGGACACACCCAGAGCTCCGATTCCTGAGCATCTCCTCCTGCGGATGTTTGTGCGGGCCCTGCAAGAAAGGCTCCGACCTTCACATCACAAACGGGAACTGAGGTGGAGATGGAATAAACTCCCTGTGGCCAGAAAGGCCCGAAGCCGGACACATCACGGACACCGGACAAACAGCGACACTCGTGGTACAAGAGGATCGAAACAACCAGGGCCTTACCTTCCTCTGTGCGTCAGGAAATGCAGGGTGGTGGGAGGGCAGGAAGAAAAATGAGAGTAAATTGATTAGATTTAACAACCACCTCATTTTTTTCCACAGTAAGAAAGCCTGCTCCCTGCTTGGCTGCGTCCTCCGGCATCCGGCTCCTCTCAGAGGAGAGATCCTGAGAGCGCTCCAGACAGGGACCAGCTTCCCAGGCAGGGTGCAGACAAACCCGGCCCCTTTACCTGGTGAAGCCCTCGTCCTGCAGGTTCAGCACCAGGTTATCCGCCGTGAGATACACGCGGTTCTGCGAGCCGGCAATCTGAAAACGAAACCCGTCACAGGGGCGCCCCAAGGGAGCGTCAACGCCCGCGGAGGGATCCCACCTCATAAGGAATCCATCCCCTGCCCTCACCGGTGCCTGGTTCTGTTCACTTCCGATCTCGGTTAAATCAATCCAATTCCCCCCGGCAACTCTGTAACTTCCCGATTTTCCCCTCCCGGTGCCATCAGACTTTCTCAAAGAACCGCTCATCCTGTCTCCCCGTCAGACAAGACCTTTGAGCCGTCCCTCATCTGTTCCCTTTTCCCAGCCCGCAGGAAACCAGGAGCTTTTGGTGGCTGCAGCTGAGCGCGGGTGACGGGAGCTGCTGTGGATCTGGCCTGGTCACACGCCAGGCACGAACTCGAGCCCGGCCTCTGACTGCCGATCGTTAGAAGCTGAATTTTAAGCTCTGCTTGAGCAGAGAGGTGCTGGGCAGCAACAAAGATCAGGACAGGGCAGGTCACATTCGCCTTAAATTCATCACGCGGCCAACCGGGCTGGGAGAACAGCGCAAGGACTGCGGGGAAGGAACCTCTGTGCCCCGCTGCTCACCGTTTTGGAGATGTTTTGAGCAGCTCGGATCTTGCGTAGCTTGATGTAGCCTGGATTCCTGCGGAGAGCGTCACCAAGGTACAGGGGAACACAAGTTAAGGCAAAAACTCCAAACAGACCCCGCCTTATCAAGAACTGGTAACTTGAAGCTGTCACTTGATAAGGGTCTCCTGTGCATGAGCCCGGTGTGACAGCTTCTCAGGACTGTCCAGCTCACAAGCCGCATCCCACAGAATCTCCCAAAGCAGGATATCATCTTGGCAGCTGTAGCCTCCCCTTCGGCCTGAACAATCTTCTGCTTCTGCTCCTGCTTGGCCTTCTCCACCAGAAACTGCGCCCGCTGTGCCTCCTGCTGAGCTGCAGAGAGAACGGCCAGAAGCTTTCACAGCAGATCCCGTTTTGTGAGCTCTCCCCCCGAGCCCTACAGCTGAGACCTGGGGGTTCCGCTTCCAAAGGACCCGGTAGCATTCCGGGGCCATATCCACAAGAAACGTATCTGAACGTACTTCGCTTTTTCTTAAATAAAACCAACAGCATGCCAACACTCTAAACATAATCCCCATAATAAGGGACAGAGTCCCACTCTGGAGAGAGGAATGCTGCAGCCTTGGGCACTCGGGATATATCCCATTAGCTACGGCCCAAAGTTTCCTGATAATACTTGTGAAATAACCCGTTTAGCTCCATCGCTAAGGAGGCTGAAATTTGAAATTTATCGCTCTGTAGCGGTGCCAGTGGAAAAGCAGCGACACACTAACCCAAATTCTGCTCCCCTGATTAAGGACTCGACGCGAGGCCAAAGGCAATCCACCCTTCCCAGACGCAGACCGAACTCACCCACTTGCTTTGCCTCCACAGCTGCTGTGTATTCCCGACTGAAACTCAGCTCCGTGATCGCCACGTCATCCAGGATGAGGCTGAAATCCTTGGCTCTCTCCGTCAGTTCTCGCCTAATGAGCAGAGACACCTGGAACACAAACACAAGGGACAAGAGTACCAACCGCTGGCTGTTTCTCACTCCCTGTGCCCTCCAAAAGCCAAGCGCAGACGCTCTTACACGTCCAGCCCGAGAGAGACACCCCTAAAGCAAACCCTCCAAAGCTGTCCCCTCCAAGCCACGCTGCATACCCGGAGCCACGCGCCCCCTTTTCAGAAGGGCGCTGCAGCTTTAGAGCTGAACAGAAAAACGATCCCTCCTCGCTGCTACGCACCGTAGACGTATCACGGCTCTTAAGCTCCGCGGCCTAGTGTGGCTACTCCCCCTTTTTTCTTTTTTAGCCTCTCTGGATTAGCGTTGTTAGAGCGTCTTTGGATTTATTCTCCGTTTCTGAGGTACCTTTAACTCACCAGTATCTTCATCCAGCAGGCTGCCAAGTCCTGCACCAAACACTGACCTACCCGGCGATGGTGGCTACGGCATCGCATCCCAAACCAGCCCAGCACCTGCCGTGCCTGAGCGTCACCCTAACGCCACGCCAGAAGCCGTTACCGAGCGAACCGTGAGTAACGACACAAAGCCACTTCGTTTCTTCTGATTACAAACCCCTTCAAAACGCGTCACCTCGCAGCACGCCACAAAACCCATGAACGCCAAGAAGCCAAATTTAAGTCAGTGTGTTCAGAAATTCCAGAGACACCAAAGTCATCTTTGCTTCCGATAAACGCAAACCCCCTGCAGACATTGTTTCTTTGCTGTCACATCCTCCCTTCCCGCTCACTCTCTTTATCCAGGCTCAATAACAAACCCCTTCGGTTCACAGCGTGTGGCCTAGCACGAAGCCCTCAAGTCCCTGCTGTGGATCAGCTCCCACAGGGAGACCTGGATGTTTAAACTGAAAGCAGGGAGATTTAGATTGGATATCGGGAAGAAATTCTTCCTGGAGAGGGTGGTGAGGCACTGGCGCAGGTTGCCCAGAGAAGCTGTGGATGCCCCATCCCTGGAAGTGTCCAAGGCCAGGCTGGATGAGGCTTGGAGCAACCTGGTCTAGTGGAAGGTGTCCCTGCCCATGGCAGGGGGGTTGGAACTGGATGGGCTTTGAGGTCCCTTCCAACCCAAACCATTCCCTGAGCCTATGCTCAGTTCTACTCTTTTTGTCACGGATCAGCAACTAGTTAATATTCCATCTTCCTGACAACTTATCCTCTTTAGCAGTCCCATGCAGGATCTCCTCTAAAGCCCTTCAGGAGAAGATCAGCAATTCCACTCTCCCTCAGCTGTGATAGGCGACACATATTCCCAGAATCCCCGGCAATCAAACTGCCAGAACGCAAACTTTCAGGTACAGGCTTTTATAAGCTAACTACTTCTAGTATTTTGCAACCTGCCCAGATTACTCTCTAAATATATTTGGCACCGCTGATGAGCACCCATTACCGGGTTCAGTGTTTTGCCAACTTCTGGTAGGCTTTGATTTTCAGACCCTTTACAACCATTTCACTTGCTCCAACAGCTCTCCTGACACCTATGAAGGACCAGTTAACCACTTTTTTAAAGCCACTTTTACCATTCGCCATGGACTGCGATGCAAGCCAGCTCTCCCCGCCCCTCGTAACGTTACGGCGCAGTTTTGCACTCGGCGTACCCGCGAACCCAGCTTTCCTCTCAGAAGCTAGCGGCACAGGCGGAGCGCTTGTATCTGTATCCGTCAGCGGGATACTGTTTGGACGCACCATCTACCAGCCTAACACGTTCATCCTTCATCTACCAGCCTGACGCATTCACCCTTCATCCGTTCTAACATCCCCCACGTGCACCGTTTAGCCGTTTCTTCGCAATCTGAGCGCGAGCCTTCTCCGGAAGAGTTCACCTGGGCTCTCTGAGTGATGAGCTGCGAGGCGTTAAACTTGGCGACCACGCTCTTGAGCACTTCGTTCACGATGGAAGGCAGGACTCGCTCCTCGTAGTCCAGGCCCAGGCGCTGGTACATGCTGGGCAGCTCTGCGGCGTTGGGGCGCGTGAGAACGCGCAGCGAAATGTTCACCATCTGCAGGTCTGAAGAGGGGAGAGGGGTATGAGGGGGGGTGGCAGCCGGA